CTCCTCCTCCTCCTCCTCCTCCTCCTCCTCCTCCTCGTCCTCCTCTTCCTCCTCCTCAGCCCTCCGTATCCACCTCAGCCCTCCTCCTCCTCCTCCTCCTCCTCCTCGTCCACCTGCTCCTCCCTCCTGCTGCTCTTCCCTCTCCACCACTCCTACCCCCTCTTCTTCCTCCTCCTACGCCTCCTCCTCCTCCTCCTCCTCCGCCTACTCCTCCTCATCCTTCTCCTCTTCTACCCCCCCTCCTGAGCCATTTTGGATCAAGCTCCTACACAGCGAGCGTATCACCTGTTGGAAGCCCGAGATCATGGAGACGAGAGGGTGTGGAGCCGCGCGCCCACTGCGCCGCAGCGCAGCTGACCGCAAGGCGGGGAAGCCGTGGGCCAGGCAGTCTGCGGACCGGGCCACGATGCAGACATCAACGTTTACCATCGTCCGCTGAGGACCGTGCTGGGCCGACCTGCCGTCGGCGCTTGCAGTTTGGAGCCGACGCGCGCGCTTCCCGTGGTCCGCGTGCCGCCGCCGGGGCGGGGCTTCCGCAACTCGTGCGACCTCCTCCCAACTGTCGAACCACAAGGAGATGCTGTAGACCATCGTCAAGCCCTCCGACGCGCTCAGGCGCATGCAGGCTGACTTCGACGCGGCCCTCAGCGGCCTCGCCATCACCTCTGGGTGCGCAGCGATGGCCGATCGCATCGTTGCGCTGGAACCCGCCTTGGGGGGGAATCTTGCTCGGCGCGCGCCATCGAAGGCGCAAGCGTTGCGGCGGACTGTGCCTCATCCTCCTCCTCCTCCTCCTCCTCGTCGCCCTCCTCCTCCTCCTCCTCCTCCTCCTCCTCCTCCTCCTCCTCCTCGTCGTCGTCGTCGTCGTCCTCCTCCCCCCTCCCTGGGTGGAGAGCTGCCCGCACGCTGCGTGTAGCGACACCGCCGGTCGCGCAGTGCCAGCGGCTGCAGAAGCACGGGGCCAGGCCAGGGGCCGACGCCGAATCGGCGAGCACCCCCTCGAGCGCGGACGCTCAGGAGAGTTCGCTTCCAGGGCCTGGGGCCCGTGCTCGGAGCCGCTGGAGTCCCGCGGCGTCTGAGCGCATGGCGAGGTCTTGCGATGCTGGTGTGCCACGGTCGCTTCCTCATCGAAGCCCCTGGGCCGGCAGAGAGGCACTGCTCGTCAAGCCCTCTCTGATGCCCTGGCGGCCGACGAGGAGCCGCTGCCGCCTGCTGCGACCGTCGCGGACGCCGCTGCCGAGGAGGAGCCTGGAGATGTGGAGGTTTGTGAGACTGAGGTTGCTGCATCACCCAGTGGCTCTTCCCGGAAGGCGGCGGCAAACGGAGCTGGAGATATGTTTTTCCTGTCCGCTGAAGCGCACTTTTTCGAGGCGGAAGCCCGGATCCAGAGCTGGACGCCCGCTGGGCCCTGCAAGCACCCATTCCTGCAACGAGTAATCGTGCACGGCGTATTTGTGATGCCGCTTGCAGACGCCGATGGCCGAACGGGATGCAATCCCCACAAGATCGCACATCGATTGTGCCAAGTTCGGCGTCGCACAAGATGGCTGTGAAATCACGATGTCAATGTCATTCAATGCGTGTGCATATAATAGTCTCCTCGTCTTCCTCAACGTGTTAGTCGCGGAATTCGTGGCGCTCTGAAGCGGGGGGGGCTCGCTTGTGGTTCATGTCGTGCGACTTGTCGGATTACTGGGTGCTCCAAACTCCTCCTCCTCCTCCTCCTCCTCCTCCTCCTCCTCCTCCTCCTCCGTCTCCTCCTCCCCCGTCCGTCTCCTCCTACCTCTCCGTCTCCTTACCTCCTGGCTGCCCTGTGCCCGAGCGTCGGGCATTGCACTTTTTGCCCGCGGGCGCGGCGAGCGCGCGGGCCCGTCGAGCAGCTCAGGGACGCGCGGCAACGAATCGGGCCCATCGAGGGGCAAGAAAAAGCGGGGCGGAGCGGCCGCGGGAGAGGAGGAGCATGGAGGAGGAGGGGCATCGTTGAACCGATCCCTATCCCCGCCGGCGTAGCCTGGGCCCCACTGGCCGAGTTACCCCCCTAAATGGGGATATAGGCCGTCTCCTTCGGGCTTCGAGGGGTACCGTCAAACTGATACTAAGGATTCTCACGATAAGGAGGAAAGACCCTTGGGCACCCATGCCGAGCCTTTTCGAGGTGGGTCTGTCAATCGAGACTGGCTCGGGACAGGCCCAAGAGGCAAGGATGCGAGGGTTACCTTGGGAAGGCCGCCCATCCTTGCCTTCGGTCACGGCTGCATGCATATCCCCACCCCGTTTGGGC